AATGCTTTGTCCTCTCTAGCTAGCTACGCGTGTGTGTGTGAGTGTGTGTGTGAGCGTGTGTGTGTGTGAGCGTGTGTTTGGGCCTGCGGTGATTAGAGAGAACAGGACGTTTTTTGTTTTTTTTTGTTGTTCCCCAAAAGGTGATCAACCAAACAATAACATTTCTGTTTTTCTGTGTCACCCTCTGAACTCTTGAAAGAGAGGAACTCCAGAAGAATGGACGCTTTTAACAGAAACGGTTGACGACTACCTTGTTTTTTTGTATCACTCTTTAAGCCTGCAATGTTTACATTGAAAACAGTGTGAGCGTGCGTGTGTGTGCACGGTGGTGGTTTAAAGTTGTTGACTAATGTGTGTCGGGGGCCATGGTTGGTGAGAGATGTGGCACTGTACTATAAACATAGTTGAACAATAAAGGCCTCCATGTTTGCTCTGTCAAAGTCTTAATATTCCTTGTGTGAGTGTGTGAATAGTTTGCCTTGTTGTCATTGATATATGTTCACATTTTTATTTTATTCTGAGTACGAACTTTCAATCTCAACCTTTGAGCCAGTGTGGGTGAGAAGTATGGAAGCAAAGAGTTCATAATTATTTGAATTTTACAAACAACTGAAAACAGAAACGTGAGATCTAATCTAATACATTTTACTAAATTTATAGCTTTAAAATAGTTTGAAAACCATCTTGGAATTTATTTGGTTAAATTTACATTTTTAACACATTTTAAGGAGGCCAATGACAAATAGAAACATGATTCAAAGTGTCCAATATTCAAAAAAGTATATTCAAGTTATTCAAATTCAGTTTGTCATTTTTGGATCTATCAAATCAAGTCAAGACAAAAAATAAAGTTGCACAAAGTTTGTTTAATTCAGACCCAATAATTTAAGGGTGAAAACTGACTGTCAGTGCTTTTGCTAAGTTCATGTTATATTGTAATTATTAGTTTCAGACCTGAAAATAATGTTTACGTCAGTTCAACTTTCATTGGGAAACTTTTAAAAGCTCCAATACACACAACTTGGCAGTTTCTGAAAACCAAACAAATATGGACATCTCACATGAGCCAACATGTTCAGTATATTTAAGCTTAAATTGATTGTAGTGTTATTGTCAGTGTACATATTTTTAATTCTAAAACAACCCAATCTGTAATCCTACAGTTGTCTCTGTGATGTGAACGTGTTGGATCATGTGACTGAAAATAAGCTGAGTTTATTTTCTTTGGTTGTTTGGGTGTTAAGATTTTCTAAATTTATCCAATCCAACTTCTACAACTTTTTTTTATTGAGTTGAATTTTTAGATATTAAAAAAAATGACTATACTATTGTACATTTACATTTTCTATCTCAATATGTGATAACAAAAATCACTGCTTTTGTAATCTGAAAGACTTCAGAGGGTAAAATCAGACAGCTTTTAAAGTAAAACGTCAATGCTATAAATTCAGTGGTATTAAGATTTTAAAATTAAGTATTTATTAGTGATTACATTTTACAGTTAGTTGTTCAGTTTATATTATAAGATTAAAAGGATTACAGCCTTTCTTTGCTTCTATGAGAAGTATTTAAAAGGTTTTCATCAAACTCCATCAGCTGAGGAAGATCAGTGAAACCATCAGAAGCTCCTTTGTGATGAGATTGTTGTTGTCCACTCTCCAATACTGAAAATGAGCTTCCACTTTGAGTTGTTGCATTTGATTTATTCAGTCAACTATCTGATGGTGTTTGGAGTCGTTGTAATGTATAGAGCTTAAAGAGCGCTCTCTAGTGGCTCTGTTACATACAGCACAAGAGAAAAAAACAACATAGATGACTCATCTCAATTGCAGGATGTATCATTTGTTCCAAGTGTAATTCACAGCCACCACATTTCTCAATGAACTGGCCTTAGCATTTATGAATTTTAATCTTAATGCTCAAAATGCCTCTAAATGTTTCACTCCTCTGAGAATATGTCTACTTGAATCATATGGTGCAAAAATAGAACACAGCCTTGGTTTGTTTTGTTTCAGAGATTATCCATACTATATTTGGCAGATTAACCTTATTTCAGACAACTCTCAGTGAGTGTTTGGATCCTTGCTCTCTGTTCACTCAGACACTCCAACCCCCCTCTTTGACCAACAATAACCTTTTACCCAGAGAGCTCCCATAGGACCAGAGCAGGGGCAGTTTAGCTCAGAGCCATTTGATTCGTGCAGATTTAGGGACGTGGTAATATGGTAGACGGGACTGAAGCGGTATTGGCTCTGACCTGAGGCAGTGGGAGGAGACTTTGACAATGAATGTGCTGAGGACACATGTTTACAATGATGGGGAAGAATGGCGCTGCACAGGAGCACTGGACACTGTGAGTTAACTGAATGAAGTAACAAAATTCAGATATTAGATATTTTCTAACTTTTGAAAAGACACATGAGAGAAGTTTTCTGTTGGAGCGGGTTTGCCTTTGGTACTTGAACTGTACTTGTTAGTTTAGTTGTATGTTGGTTTGAATGATTTTGACTGGAGTGGTCTGGGGCTGGTTCGTGTCAGGTGATCCTGGGATTGCTCTGAAAGATGCATCCTTTAATGTTTGATTTAGTATTAAATGAAGCTGTTTTCTATCTGTGTTTGCAGTGTTGTTAAATCTCATGGTGTAAGTTTAAAGAGACGGCAGGAACTTTTTCCGGACAGGTTTTTAAAATATGTGAGGTGTGTCATGTGAGGACCTAAAACCTGAATCTTTCCATTCCAGCAGGATTCCTCTCTGTCTTTTGTCTTGTGGCACATGGTCTATCTGTCCTGATATGTAGGGCTGAGCCTTTGAAAACACACCTGAACCTCACAATTCGAAAAAAATGTGCCATTGTGTTGCAGATGGTGCCTTTGAACAGCTTGACAGTCAAGGAAGCTAACGAAAGTCACTGCAGAAGGACTGACCTGTAGTGTCTTTGGAGGAACATGCTAAACAGACATTGAATGAGTTATCACAGAAGCTGATAGCATTTGTTCTGTACCAAGTACAATACACACTCTGTTCCCTGACAATCTGGGACAAGGGGGACGAGTCATCACAAGGACGAACAGGACAAACTGTGAAGTTCATTTCTCAGGGATCACTTCTCAGGGATGACCAGTGCTCGGCTGCTGAACACTTAACCAGAAGAGTCTGTGTTGTTTGGTGCCTAACCTTCACACAGGATGGCATCCACTGTGTCCTCAGTACCCCGTGGCGTCTTCGGCCCCTCGTCGCCTCCTCCAGCTGTCTGGCCTCCTCTGGACTTCGCCCTAGGTGCCCTTGCCTGCTGTGCGGCCTGCGTGTTCACCAATCCCTTGGAGGTCGTAAAGACCCGTCTGCAGCTTCAGGGAGAGCTGCGTGCACGGGGATCCTACCAGAGACACTACCGCGGAGTCCTGCAGGCCCTCTGGGTGGTGGGCCGCACAGATGGGCTCCGGGGCCTGCAGAAGGGGCTCTCAGCTGGGCTGATCTACCAGGGTGTGATGAATGGTGTGAGGCTGGGCTCCTACTCCTACTGTGAAGCTCTGGGTATCACCTCGTTCCATGGAGGGAGTCTGCTGTCAGGGGCAGGGGCAGGGGCGCTGGGTGCCTTCATTGCCTCTCCTGCCTACCTGGTAAGTTTACTTTTTTGCCTGAAATCTCTATTTGCGACCCCTCATTATAGAGTGAACGCCTGAGTTGTGAGCAGTTGTTTATCTTCTCAGACTGTTTCATTGCACTGGTTTTTAGAGGCCTGAAGAGATAAAACTATACAGCATTAGCAAGAGAGGAGCAAATATTAGAAAACTATTTACTATTATTTCTTACACTGGTAAACATCTGGTGACCCCCATACATTCATCCTGCAACCCTTTGAAGGGGACCTGACAGGAACCATTGTGCTATAGGTTTTGTGATTAAGTCATTAGGTGTTACAAGCCATTTGTAGTTCAGTTCATATCATGTCCAGTTACTGTCTATGACAAAGATGTTTACAGTCACAACTATGTGATTTTTGTGTTTTTTTTCATAATGATGTTACATTCAGGATATATTAATGTTACTGTTGCTGTTTTTCTTGTGAACATTTGAAATATTTCCCTCAAATGTTGGACGAGATGTCAGCCATTATGCCACTTTGGTGGTATCTTACTAGAAAATTGAAACCTCATGCACCATTGAGAGTAGATAATCTGATTAGGTTAACTGAACCTCGCACACATGCACGTTAAAGAAAACCGAATAAGTTAATTAACAGCCAACAACAACTGACATAAGCTAAACGAAGACAAGAGAGTAAATGTGGAAAGATGATACGGGTAATTGTTTTCTGAGGGAAGGATCAAATATATTATGCAAAAGGTTTCAGCATAACACTGTGCAAACAGCTCGTACTGTTTGAATGTCTAAGGCCAACACATACTGTATCTATGACGAGAAATGAGATCATGTTTGCACCTGTTATGTCCGTATCCTCGCTGACAAACCCTTCTCCCTTGCCTCGCCTGAAGTAATGATCTACAGCAACATAACACATATGTCGGCTTTGTAAACGAGATCAGTGTGACACACATTAGATTACATTGTTAACGCCACAAAGCTTGTGCGGCATTGTAGAGAAAGAGGTGTTTATAGTTCAGTCACTATTGGACACACTCACCTATGTGTGCACTAAAACAGCTGAAATAATATGAGGGTTCAGCAGTCTGACTTAGACAAATCGGGGTAGTGTTACTCAGTTTCAAGTTCTTTATTGTCATATACACAACAGTTAAGTTGAAGCAATCCTTGGCAATGAAATTCTTAATTCCCAGCCATCCTCTAACAAAGCTAAAAAAAAAGTAAAGTGTAAAAATGAGAATCTAAAGCATAAAATAGTTCAAAGTTAAAATATAGGAACAGGAAAAGTTATGGTCCTGTATTGTGTAGTAACACAAAGAGGGATTTTGGTACTAAAAAGACTGTAAATATTGAAGATACTTTGGAAGATTTGTGTTACTGAATCTCTTTAGAAAGGACCGATATCTCTGTCAGTGCACATATGGACATGTGGGTAATGTTTGAAAACACTTTTTTTAAAGCCACTAAAGGGAGTTTAAAGGGGAAAGCTGGGAAAACAACAGCAACTTCCTAACTGGGTAAAAATAAATGTGTCACAATTCTAATAATGTGAAAAAAACGATGGCAACCATAAGCGTTGACCACTGTATCGTAAGTCGTCACAAACAGTGACATCAAAGCACACCAGCTCAGTTTCAAACGTGTCTCAAATGTCCTGGATTGATGTTTTTACCCAGTGTGAGTCCTTGTGAGGTAAAGTATCATTACACAGGTGAGTGTGTGGGGTAGAGTCAGATTAGTCACAGGTCAAAGTTAATTTAATTACATCTAGATTGAACACAAGATGAAACAGAATGATCTTAAGCCAATTTAACCATATCTGGTCCAGACGGATGAGTAATTTATCTTTTTTATTGCCCCTCTGTCCACATCCAGGTCCCACTCTTGTTTGTCAAAATAGATACAGATTTAATGTGCATCTATAAAGCCAGAGAAGACTTAAAGCACTCATAAATTATAACTTTGAGACGTTTTGACATTCACACCGATCTCTTTCCGGATTAATGGCACAGTTAATTTCCTTATGTCCTCTGCAGGTCTCTGTTTATAGGACAGGATTAGTGTTGTTGTTTTTCTGCCACAGCTGTCAGTCAATACATTTAAAACCATCTAGCCTTTTGCACTGTCATGGAAAGACAATACTGTTTGACGTGTTTGTCTATATCTAGGATACTAAATATACCCTGCACTTTGCTTCAACTATACCCACTGCTGCCAAAAATATACAATATCTGGTGGCTCCGCGCTGTGCTGTTGACAGTGAATGAGGGAAGGAGAAGTGAAGGTTATTTTATTGGTGATTTATATGAGATCGAGTAGAGAGGGGTCTTGGTGTTGAACTGCAGCAGTTTGATTCTTAAGCTTTGATGCAAATAAATGACAAGCTCCTGACAAAGTGTTATGTAACCATGAGTTACCTGTAATTGTTAGATTAGTCATCCTGGCATCTGACTCAGACATTATCCAACTTAGTGACAAGTCTGGTTTTGTCTGTATGTAGATTATTTTCTTTGGCACAGTATCTTGTACATTGTGAATGCACATAAAAACTTGGTGCATTTCTTTCTTCACAGGTGAAGACCCATCTGCAGGCTCAAACTGTGCAAACTATAGCAGTGGGCCACCAGCATAACCACCTGGTAAGACTCATACAACACATGAACATATTATACGTTTTTTTTTTATCTCCAATTATTTTGTTGTTTACTTAAGTAAAAGTAGCAATAACACAGTGTAAACATCTTCTAATATAAGTAAAGGTCATTCATTCAAAATTCAAAGTAAAAGTATAAAAGTATTGTTGAACCTGTTCGGCTGGGACATCTTACTCTGTTATCATTCTCATTAGTACATATAGAGCAGTGTCATTATATAATTCACAGCATCGCTCCACCTAATTTACACCTGATTTATTGCTCTAATCAGCCAGAGTGATCTAATATATATATATATATATATATATATATATATATATGTTCAGTGTCTTTAATCTACAAAGTAACTATGAAACTTTAGTCATACCAGTCAAATAAATGTATTTGAGTAAAAACTATATTTCCCTCTAAAATGTATTGAAGTATAAAGTTGCATAATATGGAAAAACTTAGAGTCCCTCTTCAGTCAAAAATATGGTTTTCTTATTGTTTCTTTAGTTGAATGTTTGATCTTCCCTCTGCAGAATGATGTATGTGCATGAGTTTGACACTAGAAGGTTTTCACATTTATCTGCTGAAAGTGAAAAGTTTCTCTGTGCTCATTGAAAATCTGATTGTAAGGGGCATCACAAATAGTTCAGAAGTCAGTAAACTCTTCCACTCTCAACTCTCATAGATGATGTAGATGTATTTGTTGTTTAAAGTTTGTTAGAGGTGGATAAGTTAACACTTTATTAAACTTCTGCTATACTAGTAGGACTCAAAGTTATGTGCATGAAGAAGGCTTTTTTAACACATCAGAAAGTTGCTCCTAAAAAGGTTGAAACATGTTTTCATCACTATAATATACCGCTACATAATAGAAAAACATAAACAGTATCATTAGGTGCTATTAACTGCTACTTCCAACACACTGATGCCTTTGCTTTCCTACATTTCAGGGAGTATCTGATGCCTTCGTTACCATCTATAGAAGAGAAGGTTTAATTGGCCTTTGGAGGGGTGTGAACGGGGCCGTGCCTCGAGTCATGGTGGGATCAGCTGCCCAACTGGCAACCTTCACCTCGGCCAAGGACTGGGTGTCACATTCCCAGGTAGACGTGAGAAACAGCTGACATTTTTACAGCACGTGTAACCGAACAGTTGCTGTCAGCCTAAAGTCAAACCTCAGTTGATAATCAGTTTCTTTCTTTCCTTTCAGTGGTTTAGTCCAAACAGCTGGCTTACGGCTCTGATAGCTGCCATGATCAGTGGAGTCGCTGTGGCGATCACAATGACACCATTTGATGTTGTTAGTACACGTCTCTACAACCAGCCGGTGGATGAGTCTCATAGGGTGAGTTTAAGTCATCAGATTTGTTTTTGGTCTCAATAATGGCACAAAAGACTTTCATAAGTATTCTAGCTAAATGCACACAAACACAACAGCTCTGGAGACTTATTGTTTCGTCTTGTCTGTGTTTTAGGGCCGTCTGTATCATGGATTTTCAGATTGTATGCTGAAGGTGTGCCAAGCTGAAGGCCTGCTGGGGTTGTATAAAGGCATGGGCCCAGTCTTCCTGCGTTTAGCCCCACACACGGTGCTCAGCATGCTGTTCTGGGATGTGATGAGGCAACAGACAATAAAGGACAACCACAGCCAGGGAAGAAGCTAAAACATCCCAAACAACTGTGCAGGATTGACTGTTAAGAGGTCAATCAATTAAATATTAAAAAAGTATATATAAAGTAGCTGACAAACTATCAGGTTTTACTTTAATACCTCAAATGATGAATCTACAAGCAATGCCTCGGGCTTCCACGTGCTGACTTGAATGAGAGACGTGAGGCCCACGTGGCTTTCAAGAATATCAGGATATCAATGGAGAGCCGATGACCTGAACAACGGGTCTGGATTGTTAAAACATAAGCTATGTATTCCAGGTTTATAGTGAGGCTGCTGTAAACTGTCACAGTTTGATGGATGACTCCAGTTGCCTTGTCTGTTATATGATGGGAATGTTTTTATCTACTGACATATGAACTACTGGTACCTAAAGCCAAGAATGCCATTTCATTCAACGATTTTATTTACAGAAATGTAACCTACGGGTATTTCAAGCCTTTAAACAATTGATGACAATTAATAATAATAATAATAATAATAATAATAATAAAGACTTTTTTGTATGAAATGTGTTTAAATATATTTGTTTTTGTATCATCTTGGACACAAGATACATGATATCTAAGATGCATTGTAAGCTCATTGGATTTTGACCCAGTTAAAGGTGTCTGATTGATCTGTGAGCCTAATCATCTTTTTGAGAGGATCTTCAGCCCCTTTCATCAGCAAATGATTAAACTGACAAAAGCAGTCAAATACATTTGACCTTTGAGACTAAAGCATGGAGCCAACCTGATCGGCAGGGAAGACATAAAGGCAATGCGGCTGTTTGGCTCGCAGGAATTCAGCTTTCACTGACTTGTAGTTTCTGATCGGGTCTTAGATTGAGGTAGCATGAGTTAGAGGTCGTAGTGTCCCTGTTAAGACGAGGAAAACAAAAATGTTTCTGCCCTTCTCCTGGATCCTGGGAACGTCTGAATGGATGCCTTTTGATTCAAACCCAATAGACAGTTTTTTTCAAGGTGAGTTGACGTTGTGTTTTTCTTCCTCAAGGCTATAAAATACTAAAGTACTTCTGTGTAAAGTAGTTTCTTTACATACTTATTTTGGTTGTGGTGTTATTCGTGTTTTAAAGGTCTTGTGGGTGCAAGTGGAATATCAATGCTGTGCAATTTGATGAGAGTTTACCACTTTACTCAAACAGTCAGGTGGGTTTATTTTGTAAAAAGGAGAGACAATAGATTATTTTATGTGCAGTGTATATATATATATATTGTCTAATTTTCTTTCCACACAGTGATTCTAAATCTGAAAATGAAAGCAAATCGAGGTCATCCTCACCTGACAATCCTCTGAGGGGGAACTGGAAAGATCTTCTCCAGTTCTGGTCCCTGGCGGTCCTCCTATCTCTGGTGGGCTCGAGGGTTTCCTCTCTGATAGTGCTGGAGTTTTCTCTCAGAGCGGTTTCTGCCTGGGTGACAGCAGGACTGGTAAGTAAATCAAACCCATTAATTGATTTAATTGATTGATTTAAGCTTCTTTTACATCTATAAGAAAGTGCACGTTCAGTGTTAGTTCTTTATATAGATCTTTCTAATACTGTATCTGAACTCAGGATGCCAATGGCAGAGGCCTAGACCAGCTCCTGATCCAGAGCCAGTTCTCCTTGGGTTGCGGCCTCACCTGTATTCTGGTCTTCCTCCATCAGGGGGCTCCACACAGCTCCCTCAGCTTGTTTCTGGTAGCTGCTCTCAGCTGGGCACTGTCAAGCGCCAGCCACGATCTGTGGAGCCATGTGGCCAGACTCTACCCACTACATAGCACAGAGCGTTACTGTGGGAAGTGCATCAACCTCCTGACCTCCGGACACACCATACTGGCATCACTGCAAAAAGCGGTTATCTTGGCCTTTGCTCTAGCAGCTGTGGCTTCCACCACTATGGTTTACGACCTTTTCCTGTCCCAGAAAGATGCTCTCAAGTTTTGGACTCCATTGACGCTCTGCTACACTATACTGGTGGTCTATATTCAAGGTGATTGAACTGTTTGGGGAATGAAAATGGTCATACATCTGGAGAAAGAAAACTTTTAGATCAGATTAGAAACTAGTTTGGTCAACAAATAAGAAAAAAGAGATAAATCACAGCAGACAACAGATGAAAGAAGACAAACTCAGGAGCCCACATAGCCACTAAATTTAAAAAAACCTGTGTTGATGTTAATGAACAAAAAGGCAATACTTGATACACCTAAAAATAGGATCAATAAAACTGACAATAAATATGAAATGACTCTAAAAATAACAATTTTAAAAACAATACATATAAAACACAACCCCTATCTCAAGCATAAGCAGGTATCACATCATTCAATAGTTATTACTGCTGGGTGCACAAAACACCTTTAAGCATTATTGTGTAATGGGAGTCTTTGTTTCATTTTACACAGAGGACCAGAATCGGCATACTGAACGTACAGAAGCCCTGATGCACACTGTAGTGCTGCGACTGGGAGCCTTACTGGTGCTCATGCTGACTGTGGGTAACTGGTCTGATGTCCTCCACATCCTAATCACTTTCCTGGGTGAAGCAGTCTGCCTGTTGCCCTCTCAGGACTTGCTGCAAGCTGCGTTAAAGGTCGGTGTGAATCAATGCATTTAAGCCATCATTTCTTCCCCATGACAGTGTCTGTATTCATTACATTACTCTAACTTATTATTAATTTTGAGAAATGTTTAAATGACAGGTGAGATTGACTTGTCATTCTTCATTTTTAGGAGGAAGAAGACACAAGTTTGAGCAAATCCAGTCACAAAACAAAGGAACGCACAAAGAAAACATCATCAGATCACAACTGATGATGTACCTGAAATCTACCTCAAATACCAGTGACTACCTCCTGTGACAAGATTTACTAAAACTTGATATTAATAAAACAAAACAATAAAGGATTATTGTGTACTTACTGTTATTGAGTCTTAAAGAATAGAATAAGGAGTTTGTAGTTTTCCACCATATAGCAGCTGCTGTTTCCTTTAAAGCATTCACTGGAAGATGAGGATCTTCAGCAAATCTGATTGTTGCGGGCAGTTGCTTTTCTATTATGTTGCACTGTTTTGATGAGTCATGTAATGGAAGACAAATGCATGAAAGAATGTTGCCAAGCTGCATAATGAATAATCTGTATTGTGGATGATGTTTTTCTGTAGAAACGCAGTATAATTATACTTATTAAGTAATTTAATAAAGCCATAGAGTGGAAAAGAGATGAGCAGAAAGCTACACAGTTTAAGCAAATGAAACCTCTACCAGCAGAGAAAATATATAAAACAGTCTCCAATATGGTCAAGGATGGAAAATATCTAATTAAATTAATTGAGAAGCACTTTTTATACATGAATTTTACTTAGGTTTCAGTGGATCAGATATTCTACACAACTATTTTTCAAGAGGTTTTTTGGAGAATGAATAATACATTCATTCATGTCTATTTTAATATGGTAATTATCAGGATGTCACATTGGCATCTATGGTCAACGATGACTGTGTGTCAATAATTAAAGGGTAACTCCACCAATTTTACACTTGAAGTTCAGTTCACTCGTCAACCCTGTGAAAATGGTTGTATAATGTCTTTTGTGACTCTGGAGGGAGCTTTGTAAAGTTGGTCTTAAATTCTTTCATCAGAAAACCTGCATTACATAGTGGAAGAATTGGGGTTTTAAAAAGTGGGCATGTGGGAGGCAGGGGGGCTCTAATGAAAGACACTACCCCGTTGCATTATGGGAGACATTGTATGGTTGTTGTTGAGCTTGTTGTTGTTGCTGTCACCATTTCCTTTTCAATGAGCTCCACCAACTTGCTGAAGTACTCCTTCATTCATTATTCGAAGAAGTCCAGCAATCCCTCTCGCACTTCTAATATATTTGGGTAAAGTAACAGTGTTTCTCCCAGGGAAATAGTTTTTCCAACCCTGCAGATGTTTACAGTTAGGAAGTCAACATCAATTGTATTTGTAATTGTCATTTACTGTGTTTCTTCCTGTTCTTTCTCTTCATTTCCCTCCGTTCTCTTCCCATTGTTGCCCCGCTCTCCCAAATAGTTCAAAACTGAGGATTCCAGTAAAAACATTATACAGCGATGTTGGTGAGTAAATTGAAAAGTCATGCTTTAGAGGCAGTGAAGAGGTTCAGAGGGTTTAATGAGGATTTTGGGTGCTTGGAGGGGGGGCGGAGCATGGAGGTCTGGGGATTGTGTCATCAGTAGACATGCTCCCTCCTGCAACCGTGACATCACTGCAGCATTCCTTTCCACAGAGCTGGAACAACAGAGACCCCCATCGCTCTCCTCATCTCCGTCTCCTGTTCACCCTCTTTCACACATTCCTGCCCCACTCTTCTTTCACGCCGACCCACATCGATCAGGAAAGTTTTATCCAACATTTAGTTCCCTGCTTCATCCTTCCCTTTTGGCTCTCATAGGACGGGGAGTAAACCTCATAAGGTTTGGCTCCGGAAACTAACCACACTAACATTTGCTGATCAGCAGACCTGATATTGCTTAGACTCACTCTGGTGGAGAGCAGCAAACACAACAAAGCAGCTTTTTCATAGCTCTCTCAGACATCACTCACTGCCCCCCCTCCTAATACACCAATATCTCCTCTTGCACAATGCCCTGATTCATTGCACTGTAATGCTGCTGCTCCTTTGCAGTTGCTTCGAACACAAAAGCTCCATCAGGAGAGTCCAATAAAGTCCACCGCATACTATCAGCCATTGGTGAGGCACAAATGGAAGCTTTGCCTTGTGACACTGATAGTGAGTCAAGTCTAAAGTGATATAATGTAGTGGGGGAAGGGAAGAAGGAAAGAGGGAGAAGGAAAGAGGGAGAAGAAAAAGGAGGCAGACTCAATGAGTGAGGTAGGGAAAATAAAGCTGACAGAACAATAAGGCAGAGCTGCACAAGAGGGAAAGAGGACAGTTTGAGATAGAGAGTGGCTGTAAAAGGCAGGTACAGTCACATCCTGCTGGCATGCAAAAAGATAAAGAAAGTGGGAGGTGGTTGTGTGTCTCTTTTTGTCTATTTAAGGGCGAAAAACCTTATGAGATACTTCATGATACAGTATATTGCATTTGTAAAAAGTCTGACTGTTATTTTGGTTAGATTGCCCAACTGTTGCATGCCTTTCTGTCTGTGTGTGTGTCTACGTGCACGCATGCCAGTATGTGTATGTGTGTGTGTGTGTGTGTGTGTTCCTGCCAAGTTTTCATAGTGGATGAATGTGTCATGTTTTTCACTGCACTTTGCCCGAGATTAACTGTTCACCTTTTACGGTTGGGAGGGAGGTGGTATTGTCATTCAGCCAGAGAAGGAGGAGGGGTCGACGGACGAGAGAGTTGGGGAGGGAGGTACAGAAGGAAAAGGAGTGGCCTTCTGCTGATAGTCGCCCTCTCTACCGGAGTAAAGTCTTCTCTCAGTGGCAGCTTTACAGGAGGGAAAACAAACCAGAAGTTTTGAGATACAGAACAGGGAAGGAGAGAGAAGAAAAGGGAGAGCTGTCCTCAAACCATAGTTTCTCTCAGGTACGTAATGGTATAGTGAGTGGGTTTAAAGGAAACAGATGATTCAGATTTGTGCTTTCTGCCTCTAAAACCATTCATTATGGGTAATGAGAGCTGTGAGTGTGTGAATTTACCTCTCTACAGTGAGACTGAGCACTCCCACAAAGTTTACTTTGAGGGCGTATGCACTTAGATTAAATATTATTGAGATGAAAGAGATAAAATGTCATATTCATTATTAGTATGTTTTATATTCCAGTGTGGCTTATAAAGATCAAGTGATGTGTTAAGTCTATAATATGTTTCTCTTCTATGATTCTTCTATAAAACCTTAAATTTTGCAATTTCTGTCCTCCTGTTAGGCTGTATGTGGGTTTTATACAGTCATGGCATCAGCAGCTCCACCAAAAAGGATGGTGTCTTCTTTCTTCATCACTCTGGCGTCTCCTCACCGAGCCACTGTGACACAGCAGCAGCCCGCCCTCCAAGCCCACAGTACCCCGGCTAGAGACAAGCAGCATGCTGCTGCACGAGTCAGCCAAAGTGACAACATCCCTGTCCTAAGACATAAGAAAGAGGACCACTCACAGCCTGAGTCTTATGGCAGTGTAGACAGCAAAGGCCGGACTCATGGGGGGGCCACAGCCACAGCCCCAGCCCCAGCCCCAGCTTCAGACCCTCAGAGCCCAAAACCTGCCCAACCTGGAACCAGCAGAGGACAGCTGCAAGAACAAGACAGATGTGCTTCAGGTATTCTTGACACGATCTATTTTTTTTTTTTTAAATCTAGGATTCAGTGCAAAATAGTGCAATGGACAACACTTACCTGAACTACATTCTAAATACATATAACTGATGCCACCAGGGACTGGTTGACCTGTGTTGGGCCTGTCCTTCCATAACTTAGTTTTAGAAGTTTGTTTTTGAGTCACTTGATGAGTCGCTCCTTTTACACTCATTTGATCACATCACACCTTTTTAGGAACATGCAGAACAGAACATACTTAAAAAACACAACCCTTATTCCACCTTATTTTATTATTTTTTTAAATCATTATTATTATTATTATAATAAACTATTATTTCTTTTTTAAATTTATTTTTGGGGGGTGGCAGGCGGGTTGTATGTATTTTGTTGTGTTTAACATTAATCGTATGTATCTTATATCAGTGTTTATTAGAAACTAAATAAAAAGCATGGGAAAAAAAAATTCTGTGTAAATTACTACAAAGTGACTTTAAATACATATTTTCCTTACCAAACAGAGCTCTTCCCTCCACCTCCTCCTCCTCCTCCTGCTGATGCTGGACTGCCTTCATCTCTGGGAACATCGCTCTCTGAAGAATCAGCACTTCCGCCACCTCCTTCTGCCCAGACGCCTCCCTCCTGCCCTCTGACCCCAGGCCAGCAGCCAGTTTACAACAGAGAGGTATGCAGACTTCTCTCACAATGTAGCTAAAAATCTCTCATTTACTGTTATCGAACACTTGATCCCAGTTTTCCTCTATAAATTTAGCTTGAAGCAGAGAAGTCATTTTTTCCCACAGTGGAGTATTAGAAGTTTCCACAACTTTTACAGATTCTGTATTATGTTGTGCAGTGGTTGAATCATCTGCAAAACACATTATGAACAAAAAACAGCTGTCTTTTAGATATAGCTAAATGATGAAAAACTTCAGGATCTATACACATTTTCCTTCAAAAACTGAGCACACAAACAAATATAAGAACGTTTTCCCATTTCTGTGCAGAAACAATGAAAGTGCAGATCAGGAAGGTTGAGGCTGAGTTACAGCAGCAGGTTCTGATAATATTCAGACTTTCTCTTTATTGCACCAGTCTTATTCTACAGTGTGTACCTGTGCAACCTATCCAGTGTTGGATAAAGGATTTAATGAAGATTATTTGCATACCCCAAACTTTTTAGTTGTGTATTTCCTTGACAGTCACCTCTATATTTTAGACTTTTATTTCCAATTTGTGAAAATGTTACAGATTTAGGGCTTTGAGGGGTTAACTCTTCCTGTATTTTTAACTGTGATGTTGAATACACAGAATGTAAAGACTGACATGACTCTGCTTCAGTCTTGGAAATGTCTTAGAGTTAAAAGCTTGAAATGACAAGCTTGCCCATGCTTTTGATATGTTATTAGCCAATGTTAATGTTTTAGAGTAAAAGAAGTGAGTTTTTTTTTACCTGTAACAATTTTTTTTTTTAAACGTTTAATTAAAAGCACTAAATGATGTTGATATTGTATATTGAGTGTTTTGGACAGCAAGCATATTGTTCATTATGAACCGCCAGTCCTGATTTTAATTGGGCATGGACTTTATGTTTCAGCCTGTAACATTTAAAGCCACTCTTCTCCCTTTATCCTTCTAACATCAAACACATCCGTTTAAAGTTAAGTTTTACATTAATAATGTGCTTTAAATTTAAGGTGGAAACAAGCACACCATCTAGTGGATTCAAACAAGATGAACAATCCCACGGTATCCATAAAAATGGCCAAGACACGAGCGGGGAGAGTAAAGGTAACATAATCTCTATTTACACATTCACCACTTCCACTCTGACAATACGCATGATAACCTGCATTGACATTCATTGTTTGTGTACTACGCAGAGGTGTGTGGCTTCTGTCGGAAACCCGTGGCTCTTTCTGAACCTGCAATAGAGGCCTTAAACAGGACGTACCATGACGGTTGCTTCCAGTGTAGATCTTGTCACATTCCCCTGGCTGGTAAACAGTATTACAACAAGGCAGGGATCCCGCTCTGTGAAGACTGCTACCAGGTAAAGTCAATACAGCCTCTACTACAGGATCTCACCCAAGCTGCAAATACAAATGCCATACCAATGTTTTTGCATGCTCGTTTTCATCATGTTTTACATTGATGACAATGTCTTACTACTGCATGAAAATCAACTTGTCGTTGGAATGGGGGAAACGTTAAACTGTTTTAATACAGAAGTGTACCATTAACCACATATTTCTGGCTCTTAGGCCAGTCTGGAACTCTGCTGGGCCTGTGGGGAGGCTATCACAGATCATGTGATCCGCGCACTGGAGCGTGCATACCATCTTTCCTGTTTTACCTGCGCAACATGTAAACAGCAAATTGGAGAGCAAGCTTTTGCTCAGGGCGAAGTTGGAGAGGTTTATTGCCTCCAGGACTATTACAGGTATGAGAGTTAACAATGGTGACAAGCATTGTGAGAAAAACATAATTTACACGACTGATTCCCAGTCTTGGGGTCCAGACCTTATATGTCCCCATTTTTATTAATTTCTGTGAATAAAAGTAAAGAAATTGTAATTTTTTTACACTTACACAGTAAAGACCTGAACACAAGCTATATTCAAAGAGCCTCACTCTCTGCTTAACACGACATTAGAAACCCAATTAAAACAACCACAGAGTTAATAGAACAATGACAGTAAAAAACAGTAAGTATGGTTAAAAATACAATACAAAATATAAATGTCTGTGTTCAGTATTTGGGTTCATGTTATAGTTTATTAGTTATTCTGTACTTTAACATCATATGAAATATCCATAAAATATGTCACTTAGTCAGGGGTCTTAAATTCACTCAATGATTGAAAAGGAGTTGGGAACCAGTGCTTTACACAGTCCACCAAGAGGAGAGATATAACTGATTTCTTATTGTCCTTTTAAATGTCATGATAATGTATGTCTTTGAGTTGTGTAAAGCAGTTTAAATCCCAACCATGTTTGAAAGGTGCTACACAAATAAAGTTGCCTATTTCCTTTCCCCTGCAATGTCGCCTATAAAGGAAGTACGCTCCAAAGTGTAACGCCTGCAAAAAACTAATCATTCCAAAGGAAGATGGTACCGACAGCTACAACGTTGAATGCCTCGGACGCTCTTACCACGAGAACTGCTACAGATGTGAGGTAGGTGTCCTGCAAGATGACACACTGACAGACACACAAACACACATTAATCACCACCAGTCAATAAGTATGTCACATTGGGTGCAGGTCTGCGTCATCCAGCTCTCTCCTGAACCAAACGAGCACGGCTGCTACCCTTTGGATGGGAAGATGCTTTGCAAATCTTGCCACCTGAGTCTGGTTTCTGGTCAGCACTAACACCGGCGTTACCATCCCGGGATCAGCTGCAACTGAGGGAAAAGTCACACGACTCCAGCTTCAGAGACGTTGGAGACTTTGCATGTTCATTTAAGACTCTGGAACACTAATGTCACACATCTTTATTTTTCTTCCAATAGAACAATAATGAAATATTTTTTACAGTATATCATGCTTTCTGAAGATCTTCATATTCTTCTATTATACTTGATAATTTTGCACTCAATAAACTCTACAAAAATGCACCAAATATATTTATGCCACAGACTTTGCAGGAAAAAAAAACAATGTACGGCGAACATTATTTGAGTTTATTATCTCAACCAGTATTCTGTTTCTCAATCACATTAATCCTTTATATAAAAAAATAAAACTCTATATATAAAAAACCATTTATATAAAAGTGAAGTAATATATTTTATCTCGAGGCAGGCTCCAACATACATAAGATGTGTTACATTACAAATACAATCAATAAGTAGTGAAACATGAGAAAAAAGACAATTTAATTCACAATTGTATAAAACGGCCTGAATATAGAATTTAAACACATTAATGTCGGTCCAAGAACAGTTTGTGATCATACTGGCAGGACAATAAGTAAACACCAGAACTGAATACATTAGAGCCTTTATAAAATAACGTGTAACCGAGCACAATAACACATCTTAAATCATTATGGACCAAAACGTGAAGGTGCTTTTGATGTGAATGTGATTCAATCCAAACTTCTTCCCACATAAAGATCCTCACAGGGTCTGTTCACATTGATTTGACATTACAATATTAAAGTGTCATTCAGATCCCAGGTGAATTATGTTGTTATTTATGTTCTGTGTCTCTAAATGACATGTTTATATTTCTGTGTATCAGAAACATTTATTAAAACATTTTTCTGGAAAAAGTAAATTCATAATTTCTGTTTTTATTCACCGAACTTTCTTCTGTTTTACGAGGTTCAGGCTCAATATTACATCAGTGGTTTGTATTATCTTCTGTCTATTCTTTAAAGTGAGACTATTGAACGTTTTTGGAAGAAATGAAAAGTTGAATTCATACAAAATAAAACACATCTTTGCTCATTCAATACACTCAGGCTCTTCTCTGCCATGGCCTTACTTGGTCTGGTATGAGCACCGGTTCATGGTGGCTGATATTATTTTAACAGTCTGATTCAGGCAGCTCAGAAATATTCACAATATTCACAAGTATCAGTGCACAGTGTTTGCACAGAGCAATAACCTGCTACAAGAAGGTGTTTGTGACTGTAACTTTGTCTAAGAAAACACCTGATTGGCACAAACACAGACTGATGTGGACATAAATGTGACACCTACTCAGTGGATCTGTGTGCCACTGTGATTTGCTGCTTTCTTCTCTTATGAACTAAATATCTTTGGTTTCAGCCTGTTAACAGACAGAAAAAAACAGCTTGAAGATGTCATTTTAGGGTTCTGGACACTTGTGATGCACATTTTTTAGACTTAACATACACTCAGTTTAATTTTGATCTAAAGATTAATATTTAGTTGCAGTCATATATTTTGTTTCTGTGCTCAAACAATACTTTAAAAAACCATCCCATTATCCTTACTTCTGCCACTACACACTGTCTTTCAGAGGCTGTAGCAGTCTCCATTTTATTCACTGGCATTATATGAAACTAACTCATCCATTGGTACCAACATGTCCTGCTAGCATGTCGGGAAGTAAATAATGCTCGAAAGGGAGGCTGTCGTGATGGAAAAACTGGCAAAGTTTCAAAGGAATCCCTTGACCTCAAGATATCCGAATGAAAATGGCTCTATGGGTACCTACAAGTCTCAGACATGTCCACTAATCCCATTGAGTTTCTGCATGTGGTTTAAATCGTAGTGCACTTTAATATTTCTGCTTACTGGGATCCATAAACAGTATTGGAATTGTATAAATTGGGACTAAAAAGCTAAGACACCTACTTCATGTTACCCCTGAATGAGTCAGTGCTCCACTTGTGCAACTCCAGTCAATAACCTCTGGAAACGCCCTGTGACGATTATTTTACAACGAGTGACTGTGTCCACTTTTTATTACAACAAGTGAATTAATATTTAACTTTAAAGGAACATTACAACTTTTTATCAGATAATTCAACAACAGTTGAAGATGATACCGGGATGTTTCCCACCACACAACCAGGACTACCCCTCAAACAGCCCCTCAAACAGCCCCGCAGTGGCCCCTCAAACAGCCCCTCAAACAGCCCCTCAAACAGCCCCGCAGAGGCCCCGCAGTGGCCCCTCAAACAGCCCCTCAGTGGCCCCTCAAACAGCCCCGTAGAGC